TCAAAGACTGAGTGCTTTCTCGTCAAAGAAAGAGAGGGACTTCTACTTCTAAACCTTTGGAAGAAAGCAGAGAAGGTATCTTTAGCAAAACAAAAAATGAAACATCCTCCCGTCTGTGTTTTCATTTTGGTTGCCTGCACGTGTTGGAGCAGGAGCCCTGAAGCAAAACACTTTTGTACTTTGGATAACAAACAGCCTGAGCATCATATATTGACTTGCTCATGGTTCTTTCCATCGCTGGGGGTTTGGCTCTTGCTTTCGCGAAGGAATAAGAACAAAATCTTATTACCCAGGAACATATGGCAGGAATTTGTTTGTTTCTAAGATCACGTTTAGCTACCATCTCATCTTTCTTTTCTCTTTTCTTTTTCTTTCTTCCCATATGAAAGATCAGCCCTCTGTTTTCTCATCTTATCCTTCCTGCAGGCAATTGGAAGCAACAGATTTCAAGGGAGGCTTATTTAGATGGGGATGGCTTTAGAGCTTTTGGAAGTGGCTGAGGAGGGGCTGGCAGGTTCATTTAAAGGAAGCACCTCTCTAAATAGGTAACAGACACCATATGGGTCTGAACATCATTTTAATATAATCATTATGGACTAATTAATAGGAATCCTAAAACTAGACAGGAAATCCCTAAAAGAAGGCACTGTGCTCATAAACTTTTTAGGTGAGACCGAATGTGTACCTATGGAGGATCTGGGCGCCAAATCTGCCTAATTTCCTGCTACCATCCTGGGTCCTCTGAGAGCCAAGTCATACTATATATTTCAATGCCAAAAGGGGCCAGAAGGAAAGGCTGCTGGCGTTTTCCCTTTCATTGGAATAGCGAATCTGTCTAAGTCCAGATTTTAAAGGTTCATTCCAAGGTGCTGAACCCAGTCCCCCAAATAAATTTAGCACTATGGATACCTCCTTTATCTGTAGTACTATAATGGTTTGAAATGTTGGACTGAGAGACTAGGGTTCAAAGTCCCACTCAGCTGAATGGAAGCCAATGCAATGAGGTTGGGCGGGTTATTCTCTCTCAACCTAAGAAGAAGGCAAGAGCCAAGAAATCCCTGGAGTAACATAAATGTGTTAGTAAAAATATCCATCTTCACAAAGTTTAGAATTTATTGATAGATGTAGCCCACACATTTCCATTTCCCTGAGTAAGTGTGTGTGTTGTGAAGGGTTGGGTTTAACACTGAATTATCAACAGGACAATTGGGTGGATTTTCTTCCCTTTGCCGACACTGACTGGCAACAAGTTTCCAGATCCAATTCAAAGTGCAAGTTATTACCTATAAAGCCCTATACGCTTCAGGTCCAGTCTATCTTCGAGACTGCATCTCTTTCTATGAACCAACGCAGATCCTAAAATCTGCCAGGGAGGCCCTTCTCTCAGTCCCACCGCCATCTCAAGTGCAGTTGCTGGGGACGAGAGAGAGGGCCTTCTCAGTGGTGGCCCCCTGGCTTTGGAATAACCCTCCCGAGTTTAGGTTAGCCCTACCATTCAGATTTTTTGGAAACATCTGAAACATGGCTTTTTACACAAGCTTTTGACCATGTTTAGGGATTATGAGCACTATATTCGAGGACTAAGTGAGTGGTCACTATTGCACTTTACAAAGACAGAGATTGTACATAACTACTGTTTTATAGCTAGTTGGGTCTTTTAGTATCTTACATTAATAGGGGTTTTATCATTGTTTTATGTGTAATGGGGTTAATATTATTGTTATTAATGTAACCTTTTATATTTGCTGTATTTGTATTGTGTTGCACTACTGAGTGTCTCCTGTGAACTACCTCAAGTCCCACCAGGGAGATGATGGCAGGATACAAAGTATTATCATTATTATTATTATTATTATTATTATTATTATTATTTCCATGACTTAAGTGTAAGAAAAGAACTGAAGGACTATCTTTTTACATATGGAGTGTTAACTTCATTGTAAATTTTATATGCAAGCTGGCTATAACTGCCAGAACTAGGAATAAATAATAAACAATAAACCAGCAATGTGCATCAAAGTTACCCAAGAACAAATTTACAGTACAAAGTTTGAATTAAAATGAAAATCTCACTGAATATTTTATTGACTTTACAGATTTTTATACACTATACAGAGTTGCCTGCTCTAAATTACCTGCTTGAGTCAGCTATCAGCTCCAAAGCATAACATCAAATCAATGCACATTTGCTACCTCCATTCTCCTGGGCCCCTTTCACACTATGCACTTATAGCACTCCGATTCCATCCTGTGGATTTGCTATTTAGGGAGGGGGAATGCTTAGACAGAGAACTCTAATGTCTCAACAAGCAACAAATACTACGTTTTGCAACAGCTGGTTGTTTGTGGCATTCCACGATACTATGCAAGGGGGAGGAAAATTACAAACATTTGTTGTGGAAATAGATGTTTCACTGTGGTACTATTCTTCCTTGGAGGCAACTTAAAATATAGGAAATGTATTGATCATGATACAAGCTTTTTGGAAGCAGGAGTTTAAGCAAGGTGTATAAGAAATGTGTGCCTTATTTTAAAAGGAAATCTCCATGGATTTCTTCAGCTACTGTCCTAGAAGGTTAAGGGTGCCAATATAACCTATGTTGTATCCAACACTTATACAACCCTTTTGGAAAATTGAGCCTACATAGATCTTTGCTGGGAATACGGAAGACCATATATTCCAGGAGCAGATAACTTTTGTCCCTGGGATCAAGTGTAGTAATTTTCAATTTCCAATCTGGTCCTCTATGCTTACCCAGATGGTCCATACTTCCTTTCATGTGATACTATATTATTTGGTGTTTTCCCAGTTTTTTTGGTAACGTTTCCTTATTTCAGTGGTTGACGTACTTCCCCTGAAGCTTGAGTACTAGCACAATGAGACATAAACTAAAATATGCTGGTACTTTTGATCTCACTATTTTATTTGTGGTATTTATATACCATCCTTCTCAACCCCAAAAGGGACTTGGGGCAGTTCACAGTTTACCTTTAATCTGCCCATCCCAGTAATGCAGCTCCTGAGAACATCTCTTAAATTGATTCCCTAACGTTAATACAGAATGTACAGTCCATATAAACTAAATGGGAAAATCATGAATTACTCCAGACGTTACTGATTCAGCAGGTCTATCAGCCTAGGCAGTTATGAGAAAATTTAACTAATTTATGACACCATAAAAACCTTCCAGCAGCATGCAGAAGAATGAGGAAGTACTCCATCAAATGACTCGATGTCACAAGTGAATGGTGAAATGGCAGCTTCCCCTGTGGCCAGAATCGAGCATACCCTCATGAAGCCAGAAAAGCTGGAATGTTAAATTGCCTCTCTGTCTGTCTATATATGTTGTATGTCTAAGCGGCATTGAATATTTGCCATGTATATGTGCATTGTAATCCGACCTGAGTCCCTTGCAAGGTGAGAAGGGCGGAATATAAATACTACAAATAATAAATAAATAAATAAATAAATAAATAAATAAATAAATGCAAGGTGTTGGTTTCCAGGTAAATCTGGTCAGCCACTTGATTCCCAACCCTGATGTAAACCTAAGTATGGAATGGGAATATCACTATAGTCTATAGAAGTGTTTCTCAAACTGTGCTCCTTCAGGTGTTTTGGAGTTCAAATCCCAGTATACCAGTTGTTAGGAATCATGGGAGTTGAAGCCCAAAACAGCTGGAGAAGCACAGTTGGAGAAACTCTGGTCTATAGGATTTCTGCTCATGGTTGTATTGCAGGAAAGATTCCCCAAATTCTATGCTTAAAAAAAAACCCACACCAATAAATATATGGCATTAGCATCAGGAATAAACAGCCACTCATTTTTTCAATATAATTTGTTCTTAAAAGGATTGCTTGTGTGTCATCCTTACCATTTATTCAAAGCTGCTAAGATACCACATGAACAGTCTTCATTTGAAGGACTGCTGGAGGGAGGAAAACCCAACCAAGCATGATTTGGGTACAGCAACAAAAAGGGTCTTATACTGTTGTGCCACCATGAAACCACAAGAAAAATGCTTCCTGACTCTGATATGAAATGCCCTTCTCTGCTCCTCTCCAAGTGCCACAGGGAAACTCTCTAATGTCAGCCATATATCTTAAGGCAACTTTCCTCTGTCACATATAGTTGCTTCAGACAGTGTTCAATATCCACGGGCAATAATGATCATCAGCCAAGGCTTCTGGTGGCCTGCTTAGTCCTGCCTTGAGCAAAGCAATGGAGGGAAATGTCTTAAGTGGAGGTAGGCAAGACGGTACATGAGCCCTGAAAGGAGAGGTCCCTGGGCAATGCTTTTCCTCAAGCAGAACATGGGAAAGTAACCTTTGGATTCCATTTCCCTGGAACTCTTTAGCCATTGTGCTCAATTGTAATGCTGGCTGTGGGAGTCTAAGAATTACAACTCTAAAATCCTTTCCAGGATCTGCATGAACACAAATCCATATTGAGCAAAATTCCTCTTTATAACTGTCTCTAGTATCTAGCAGAAAGCCAAGAGAGAACTACACATTCAAACTCTGAGTAACTACCTCAGAGTTACTAAGAATCACTGGGACCATTTGCTGAATGCCGGATGACGAGAAGGGCTACACCAGAAAGTCTCCCTCACAAAATAAACTCTGAGCAACTTCAGTGAATTATTGTTAATATGAACAGCAATGAAGTTTCCCTCTTTTATATTAACATTTGAATTCTTTAAATTCTTCAATCGCATCACAAACACAGCTGTTAACATGGTGAAAGTTTGAATATCAATACAAAATGACAGCACTGATTCTGCCCATAATTCCCAAATATAATGAAATAGTAACAGCCAATAAATTGTTATGCTGTTTGACCAACAGGATCTTTTCTGATACACAAGCATGAAATTGACACAGCTATATAGAGAAGCAAGAAGGTTGACCTACTCTCCCTCTTCAACCTAACACAGTTAAAGCAACTATCTGTTGGTTTCTCATAATGTCGAGATAAGGAATAAGACGAGGAACTTACGCAAGGCATGCCATTCATCCTGACGGATGGTCTTAGTAATATTGTAGGTGAGATTCTTGGGAATTGTTGCTGAGGAGTAGTGGTACTTGATGTACGAACACTGTTCAATTGCTCCTGGGACAGACAAGAAAGAACATATAGAAAGCAATGTTAGTTATGCAAAAGTATAACTCTCTTGCATTAAAACTCATAAATGGGTATGGAACTTCAGCAAAGTAATTGCAGCTTGGTTGGTCTTGAGTACAATGTATCAGAACTTCACAGAGAAAAATATCAGCAGCTCTTCAGCCTCAGACAGCAATAGGCCTTGAGCTGACCTTGTTATTTCACAATGAAGGGAAGTAGCACAAGAAGTTATGATGTGGATGTTTGATGTTCATGTTTTAGGTGGAGTCCCCGGTGACACAATGAGTTAAAGCCTTGTGCTGACAGGACTGAAGACTGACAGGTCGAAGGTTTTAATCAGGGGAGAGCGTGGATGAGCTCCCTCTTTCAGCTCCAGCTCCCCATGTGGGGCATGAGAGAAGTCTCCCACAAGCATGCTAAAACATCAAAACATCTGGGCATCCCCTGGGCCTCCCACAAGGATAGTAAAACATCAAAACACCTGGGCGTCCCCTGGGCAACATCCTTGCAGACAGCCAGTTCTCTCACACCAGAAGCGACTTGCAGTTTCTCAAGTCGCTCCTGACATGAAAAAAATGTTTTAGGTTAGATTTAATTTATCTGATAGGTTACATTTCATTTAACTTTAGGTGTCATGTTATGATGTTGTTTATATGTTGGGCTATTTTGTATTATAGCATTTGTATTTGTTGTTTGTATTGAGGCATTGAATGTTTGTTTTTTTGTTTGTTGGAATCTGCCCTGAGTCCCCTCGGGGAGATAGAGTGGAATATAAATTAAGAATTATTATTATTATAAGTTACAGAAAGAGTTACAAAACGCAGGCAACAGAACGAAGAATGTAAGAATAAGCAAAAAATGGAGAGCAAACTGGAGTAAAAACATGCAAATCTAGTGCACATGGTAAGACTGAGGGGCAAAGACATAGTAATTTTAGAAAGGGGCTTTCTTACACAATGTTTGAGAACCTACTGGATTTAATTTATGTGCCACTAAGGGCCCTTCCACACAGCCATATAAACCAGAATATCAAGGCAGAAAATCCTAAAATATCTACTTTGAACTGGGTTATCTGAGTCCACACTGTCATAAATTCCAATTCAAAGCAGAAAATGTGGGATTTTATTCAGCGGTGTGGAAGAGGCCTTAAAGTCTTTTGCCATCTGAAATACAGAAAGCAGAGGATTAACTTTTAACAAGTTAATCTAGTCCAGCTGGGACAGTACTAGGTTGAAAGCTTTTTATGCAATTTACCTGTTTCTAAAACATTATGGGATGCAAATGCAGGAAACTTGATCTATGGGCCCTTCCACATACCTGCTTTGAACTGGAATATATGGCAGTGTGGACCCAGGGCCCTTCCACACAGCCATAAAACCCAGAATATCAAGGCAGAAAATCCTACAATATCTGCTTTGAACTAGAATATATGGCAAAGTGGACTCGGATAACAACAACAACTTTATTTTTACGATGTTTTGGTATATTGACGGATTGGGAATTGTTTTTTATACTGTGTCTTGTATTTGTTTTTTCCTATGTTGTACACCGCTGTGAGTCGCCCCGGGCTGAGAACAGAGGTATAGAAGCAAAGTAAATAAATAAATATTTTTATACACCGCCTCCATCTCCCGAAGGGACTCAGGGTGGCTTACACATGGTACAAAATGTTCACAGAACATCAGAGCAAAGCAAAAATATGATTAAAATAAAACATAGCAAAACAACCATCAGATAAAACACAATTAAATAAAACATAGGGGTTTAACCCAGTTCAAAGCAGATACTGTGGGATTTTCTGCCTTGATAGTCTGGGTTTTGTGGCTGGGTGGAAGGGCCCTTTATGATTCATGATCAGACCTTTTGGAACCATAACAATACCTTCCAATGCATAAATAATATACAAATTCTGTTGCCTGTGTAATTTTATTGGGGACAAGGTTAAATTGCCACATTCATGTGTGGTATTTATACAGTCCTTTGAGCATCCAGGCAAAACATTTCTCACACATTATTATCTCAGCCATTCTTATACCAATTGTCACTAAGTTTAAATATAAATTCAATCTCAATCAGACTGGACTTTTTTCTCCCTTTGGCTTTATCAAATGAACTTTTGCAAACACATTCAGTCCCAAAACTTTATTTGGCATGAATAAACTACAAAATCAATTGGCGAACAAAGCATTATGCAACCAAATTGCTAGCTGCTTCAACAGAGGCGGGTTAGTGTCTTCTGAAGTTACCAGAGGTGATCATTGTTTGCTTTATTTGCATGTGCCTAACATTCCCCCTTTGATAGCAATTAGATTAGACACAGCTAAATATTACAGGGGAGAAAGCAAAATATTTACATATGTACCCGTCTGCCCTGACAGCACGATGGGCTGCAGCATGTGCCTCCACCATCTGGGCACCAAATGTACACCCAGAACAAAAGTTTCCAACAAAAAAATTGTATGTGCAAAAAGCCATTGCAATCTCTTTTGTTGACTGCCCTTGCCACCTTCTATGCAATGAGCTATTCAATACTGTGATAACAGTTTAGAAGATGTGAGACCAAACTTTTCACCTCCCAGCCTGCCAATTAGCTCTGTTATATTTACAGTACAGAGGGAGATCAGGGCTGGAATTTGCAGAATGCTTATTCAGTATTCATACCAGTTGAGAGGAAGCTCTTCTCTAGAGAGGCAACGAAGTATACAAAGCTATAGCCACAAGAATGCAGATGACAAAAAGCAAAAGGGAACATATAAAGATTTATGGAAATTACCATCAGCATCATACAAGATTTACAAATAGGAATCCCAAATTATTGCAATCGTTTCCCAACCTTTTGCTTAACAAGTCCAGAAGACCTAAATAGTTCTCTACCTCTTTATGTTTACAAGGACCCTGTTAGCGAATTAGTGAGTTTCCTGACTGGATAAGGGCCTGAAGCTGCATCTCCCACATCCTAGACTGACACTGCATCATTCAGGTGTCCACTGTAAACAAAATGTTGTTGTTGAATAACTGCTTAGAAAGCTTATGTACTGACCATAATGACATCTTCCAAAGGACAGAACTAAATTGGTAGTTTCCTCTGCTCCTGGATGTCACAGTATGGACACCAGCAAAATGTATTACCAATTACTGTGCCCTAATGGTGGATTAACTATGCACACAACACAATGGCTGGAAGAGATGGAATTGCTTGGTCGTTTCTTGCTTGGGAGATGTGGCGCCTGTCCTGCTTAATGGGATATTTATCATATATACAAATATTTTGTACACAACTACTGATGTAACAACAACGCAATGTATACTAAGAATACTGTGGATGTCTTGATACTTTGTGAGTTTTCTATATTCGAGTGATGAAGAAATCTTTTCAGGATAGAGGCCAAATTCCAAGTTATTAAAGCTTTTGGAGATTGTCTTACACGCATAAAAATAATAGCTACACTATGTAGATGTCTATTCTGGAGTAAGCCACCACTGCAACAGCCTTCCAAGCTGCAAACCCATTTATATACAATTATTCCCCATATTTAAACTATTATTCTTTCTAATCCATGATCAAAAATGAGAGCACATGAAGCTTGGAGGTTGGATGGGAAACATCTGGCTTATAGTCCAGAAGTCCTTCATCCCTGCTATAATTGAAAAGCGCTTTTGACCTCAGCTTGTTCCCTCTTGTCTCCAATACGTAGTGCAAATGTTCTGTCCATTTTCATTAATGCTGCAAAATGAGGTGTGGGGAGAAAATAAAATGAACAGATTGATATATTTCTGTAACTAACATGAGTGTTCTACCAGCGCCTTCTCGCAACTTTGCTGGAACTGAGTTCACTGAATTAGGTTTGTGAATTGGGCGATTTCTCTAGCAGACAGGACCAAGTCCCAAAACTATGTCAATCAATCTGATTTGACAACATAATGAAGTCATTAAGCGAAAGGGAGTGCCAGAGCAATAGAAACAAATAAGCCAAATGTTTTTCATGGAATGCCAGAACACTTTTTCAAAGGTTAACTGGTAGATCTCTTTTTGGAACAGAGATGTTGTTAAGTTCCATCTGCTCCTTTACGATTTCTAAAACCTGATATATTTCAAGCATTAAGGTAAGGCAAGTAAGAGAATGAGAGCTTTTTCAAGGTCAGGGCACAGATTCATGCTAGACATTATAAGAAACTTAGTATGTAATGGCAAAGGTGATAGCAGTGGAACAGACTGTCCTAGATGATAACGGGCTCTTCTTCACTGGATATTTGGACATTACTTTGTTTAAAAAGCTAAAGGTGTATCCTCTATTGTAGAATCTACATTTTGTGCAAGCAATATCCAAAATCCCAACTAGTTCCAGAAATCTGTGAACCAGAAATCCTTATGACCAATTTTCTCTTCTCCTACAACCTACGTTCCTTTATTTCCTGGTCCTCCCCCCTCCCTTCCATTCTTAAACTCCCAAATATAATATCATACAATAAAAATAAAAGTGAAATCTTAGTAATTTCTATTCATTTTGTACACATGGAATTATTTGTGTAGTTCAGGAAGCTTCATGTTGTTGTCACAATCATCTCCAAGAGCATTTCCTTTCATGTCTTCGGATGAATCTTTTCAGAGCAGATAATTAATTCAAATGCTATTCTTTGTTCTGGCTTTGATTTTTACAAATGCACTATTTGAGCTGATTTGATAAATATTTAAAAGATGAACAGATTTCAGCCTGCAGCTTGTTTGGAAGGTGTGTTGTCATATTTTGTGATTTCTCCCACATTTGCTTCAAGATGAAATTTTATCACAGTCTTTCATAGTGTTGTTTCATTTCTTTAAGTGCTCTGTTCAGAACTGAAACAACAATGAGACCTATCCCTAGATCTGAAAGCATATTAAGGACATTATAGTTTTTAAGGCAAGAGGAGGTAGATAAACACTTACAAGGTATGGCTTACAAGAAAGCAGTCTATCTCGTTCAGCAACATGATGGCACGAACTCAGACTA